ACACTACTCCTCCACCTTTCTTACTTAGTCCTTATTTTTTCACCTCCAAAACCCTTTTAAAAACCACCCAAACAAATCTTTTTCAATCAACACACATTCAAATTTGGCGACATGAAGTTCTGCGCGATATTCGTGTTATTCATCGTTCTTGCAATCAACGGCTACGATTGCAAGATAGTCCAATTTATATTTGGAGATTCATTGTCTGATGTAGGCAACAATAAGAATCTACCTAGGAGTTTAGCGACGGCGAATCTGCCCTTTTACGGTATTGATTTTGGCAATGGTTTGCCTAATGGAAGGTTCACTAATGGCCGCACTGTTTCAGACATTATAGGTAAGTCATGAGTATGGAATTAATTATTAGTCAATGATATATATATCATGTGAATTACGTTTTAGTACAAGCTTATAATGGGTTTGTTGAAATTTAAAGGTGATAAAATTGGATTGCCAAGACCAGTAGCCTTCTTGGATCCATCAATGAATGAAGATGTAATACTTGAAAATGGAGTGAACTATGCTTCAGGAGGTGGTGGAATCTTGAACGAAACTGGTGGTTATTTCGTAAGTCTCATGAAATAATAAGTTTTCATTATTATTTGCATAAAAATAAATGAAAAAGATTCATCAAAGAAATGATAATGATTTTCTAAAAATGTTTATTTCTTTTTCATGGGGATTGTATTTGTGAAGATCCAAAGATTTTCGCTGTGGAAGCAAATAGAATTATTCCAAGGGACACAAGATGTAGTTGTGGCAAAGATAGGGAAAAAAGAAGCAGACAAGTTCTTTCAAGATGCTCGATACGTTGTCGCTTTAGGCAGCAATGACTTCATTAACAACTATTTGATGCCTGTCTATAGCGACTCTTGGAAATACAATGATCAAACCTTCGTCGACTACTTAATGGAAACACTTGAATCTCAACTCAAGGTTTACTTTTCTAAACTAATTCAACACTTCAAGTACCTATTTATCTTTCATATATATAATGATCTAACTGATACAAATTTGTGATGCATGTAATGTTTTAGGTGTTACATAGTTTAGGAGCGAGGAAGCTAATGGTGTTTGGTTTAGGACCAATGGGTTGTATCCCACTGCAAAGAGCTCTAAGCCTGGATGGAAATTGTCAAAACAAAGCGAGTAATCTTGCTAAGAGATTCAACAAAGCTGCCACCACAATGCTCCTAGATCTCGAGACCAAGCTCCCTAACGCAAGCTACAGGTTTGGTGAAGCCTATGACCTCGTCAACGACGTCATCACTAACCCAAAAAAATACGGTAATATAAAACTTTGATAAAATCAAAAGAAGCATTCACAAACGGCATCTTTTTTTTTTTTTTTTAAACAATCAGAAGTTTCATTTTCCTCACATAAATTAAGCTGGATAGTTTTTGTTAATAAAGGCATTTTTAATTATATCGCTTTGATCATTGGATTAACTTGTTTAAATGTTTGTGTGATTATAGGGTTTGATAACTCGGATTCGCCGTGTTGCTCGTTCTACAGAATCCGGCCTGCGCTAACGTGTATTCCAGCGTCGACATTGTGTAAAGACAGAAGTAAGTATGTGTTTTGGGATGAGTATCATCCCACCGATAAGGCTAACGAACTCGTCGCTAATATACTCATCAAAAGATTTGACTTCATGCGTGCCGATGACGGTATCTCCCATGCTCCATCTCCCGCGCCGGATATTTCTCCTTCTTCCGACAATAACTGATCGGAATTACAGTCTTAATTATATATAATACTTCCGGTTTCTGTAAATTGTGATCATGTTGTGGAGAGTTTCGTTTGTCTTTCATTTTGATCATGTCAAATAATGTTTGATTTTCTGTAATTGTTCTTCTTTTGTTGTATCTGTTAATTCGAGAATTTGTCTTATAATAGTAAAGATATTATCATGTTTGATTGAGGTTGTTGTGTCCTCCACTGTCTCAGTGTCTCTCCACCAAATAAAACGAAAAATAACAATTATTAATGTGGAAAAAGATAAATTAACAAAAATGGCATATTTAAAACAGTGTAATAAGGGGAAAAAGCAGAGCAAAACCTTTTAGTGTTTCAGTGGATGACCTAACCTGAGCTAAGTTAATGGTGGGACTTTTATAAATTAACTTACAAAAAAAGTCTCACCTTTTTAGACATGGGTTTCATAAAGTTTGAGTCTTATCAAATATTTGATATCTTTCACATAGCCTTTTAGAATAAGATTCAATTATTAAGACTTCCCCATGATTTTTAAATCTTGATACATATCATATAAAAGTGATTTGATTATTACCATTTTATAGAAGCTAGATTACAGGAAAATGGAATTAGCAATCAGAACAGTGAGGAGTGTGGCGGTTGTTAGCACCGGATCCTGGATAATCGTTAATATCCTCAACGGTCATCATCCTCCTTGTCCCTTTTCTTCTCTCAGGATCATTTTCAATACGTCCCTATGAAAACATGAAGCATCCATACAAATAAAAAGCAAGAGCAAGAGTCAAAATACAGAAGATACTTGATCTTTGCTCACATTGTGTGTGTGTGTGTGGAGTAGATTCTTACCAGATGGCTAATCTGACGATTCAATTCCTGTCCCTTGGTTTCAAAGTCTGTTGATTTCTCAGGTCCTGCAATAATAAGAAATTAATACAAGAAAGAAACAGAACAAAGAAACTTGAGGAGGTTAGAAGAAAGAGAGAGGTATTACAGACTTGCAGTGATTAGGAGAGGCTTCCATGAGATCATGAGATAGAGAAGAGCTAAAACCAAGAACATTCGATGGTAAAAGAGTTGTCTTCTCGCCATTTACTTTTGCCACAAAAAAAGACAGAGAATATATGTTCTGTTTCTGCTCTGTTCTGCAAGTAAAGCTTTGTCTAATTTATACAAAAACCATGTGTGATCTTCTTCTGGATCTGTAAGATTATCGTGGAAGAAGATATCGATATTAAAGAAGATTGTGCAAATTTTCTCATTATCTTTAGATCTCTACCGTTGATTGTGGAAATAAGCCTTTTGAGTTGGAGACATCAGATGATGCTCATCACAATTAAAACTCTTCTTTTTTATTCACTAGTGTTGTATTATACAATACACACACTGACACAAAGATATATACAAATCTGCTGAATATCATGTAGGTTCACACATACGTAGACAGGTACACTGTATATACAAGAAAACTAGCGTGCACATTGCTACAGTTACTCAAAACTAATGTTTAACCAGAACTCAAAAACCGGTTTCATCTTTCTGCTGATCATAAAACTTTCAATTGAATATAGCATATAAGTCCAAAGCATATTAATTATTAAGTGCATTAACAGTTTTCACTCACGGATGAGGATGAAAACTTGAGTCAGCAGGTATGATCATTTGCTGGTTATTGTTAATAGGAAGCCATGAGATTAAATGGTTTTCTTGAACACCGTTTATTACCAAAGGTGATGATAGCCCGCTCTGAAACTGCATGAGAATGTTTGGTCTGGTTTAAGAATGTGAGAGAGAAAAGAAGGGCAACTGTTATAACTTATACATAACCTGTGTTGTTGTACATTCTAGTGACGTGAGTTGATTTTTTCTGAAATGTTCCCGCAAGACAAATGCTGCCTCCATTGGTAACTCTTAACATGTTCATATATGTGTCAGTGTGTGTGTGTGATCAAGTCATGACATACCTTGTGAATCTTAACTCTTTCAAAAGATTTTCTCAATGATTCTTCCAAATGCTCCAAATGCCTAAAAACTGAAAAGTACACAACAGAAGAAGACGCAATAGGTATCCATAGTAAGTTAAGACGGTTGAAACGCAAATGTATAGAAAAAAATGATAATTAAAACCGAAAAGTTCCACCTCAGTCTCCTATGACACTCCATAACCTGAACAAGAGAAAATGCTACTTGGTTAGTCAGACCCTGTTCATGAAATGTCAATACATACTTTTAGCTATCAAAAGTCAAGAGCTTAGTAGTATCCAAAAGAATCATGATGATCCATCATCCTTACCTCAATAGTTTGATTCCTTCAGGATAACAAATTAAGGACCACAGTTCAAGTGTTTTCCAAACGGGACAAATAGTTTACTGAATTTAAGGTTACATAGATAGAACTCATGTATCAAGTCCCTTGCACCTAAGAAGAACTCATTTATATTAACATCACGATCCATTTTCATAAAAGTCTTCTTGAGGGCCTATGGCCCTATACAATAAGTAAATGTTTCAGCTCAATATGTTTCCCAAAACCAATAATATTATGAGAAAGGAAGAGAGTTACCTCAAGGCTCTCAAGTTTTCGGCTAAGTTCAAAACAAAAAGATATAAGTTTTATAACATAAGTACATGACTTCATATGTACTTGAGATTTGAGGAAAAATGTATGCTCAAACGATACAACAGCTTAAAAATAAACTTCTCAAGATTCAAGAATGACAGAGTCTCTTAGACAAGAGAGAAACCACTGTAAAGGAAGAAAACAGAGAATGTTCTTTTATTGGGCCTTTAATCAACTAGGCAGTTTCGTTTAATTAATTATCCAAACGAATGGTCTTTTTTATTTTATTGGGCCTTTTTGATTTATCTAATGGGCTATTCATATTTACCTACGAGCCCAGTCATATCTTTTCAGTTCCTTATTTTTGCCCTAATTTTCGCCGCCTCTGCTTATCTTATATAAAGCCATCGCGATTCATTAAAGCTCCAATGGGAGCCACTTCTCTTGAAACCCTAGTCTTGTATCTCTGTAAATTGTCTCATCGATTCGAGGGCTTTCTAAAGATTCAGTCTTTTGTCTGTGTCGTGGTTATTTCTGTTTAATTGTATGTTTGTTTTGATGCCTGTGATGGTATTAAATATACTTTGAGAGCTTTGTCTCTAGGAAAACAAAACAAATCTGAGGCATTTAGAATCTTCTTTTTTTCTTTGGTTATGAAATCCAGTTTGAAGTTTGGATGTGAATAGGTTTATTTTTTCTAGTTTTTATTACAAGTTTAGTGTGTGTGCAAGTGATGATAAAAAGACAGGGACATCAGATTCTCCTTTGGGAGAAGTATAATGATGATTAAGTCTAGATGGGAATCTCTCTGATGCACCTTTTAAATTGTTAATGATGTTTTGTTTTGTGCCGGTGATGTATATCTATTGATGTGTTTTCATCAGATTTTCATAGTGATGAATTATATCACAATTGTCACTACCTCTGAGGCATATTCTTGATTCGTTTTTTTGAATTTTGGTTTTTATCACCTTACTTCTTTAGGAGCCTGATGATTGCATCTAAGAACGGAGATATGAAGGGTTGTTTTGTTGTAGCCTATATTTTGTTTTGGGCTCCAAAGCTTACCCAATGTAATCATCTTGCTTGACTATATATGAAGGCCTCGTAATCATGATCTTGTATCACATTTGGACTTTCGTTCTCAATTCTTTTTTTTGCAGGAGGGCGTGTCCACAGAAGGTTTACAAGCTCTCAAGATTGCTCCTAGATTTTGTGACAATTGTAACTTCATAATATAGCGTTCATAAACATGTAACTAATTGTATATCTTTTTTAATTCATGATGCCTTTTCTATTCTAATTGTGTTTCTTCTTCAAGAATCGTCGACTATAATCAAAAACATACAATTTATCTAATCGAACTGGAAGAAATATATTTAAATTGTAATGCAAGTTCCGATCCGTATAAAATGGAACCATATTCATAATTAATAATCTTTGATGAGAAAATTATACATAAACAACAAAGGTTGGAAAAATGGAGGTTTTGTTTCTCCTTGCTTTTATATTAACAACCTTTAACCAAAATGTTCTTTCGTTCTCTAGCAATTTGTTCTCTATGATCTTCACATTCACCAGACAAACAAACCCACAATTTGATAAACATACTTCAATTCTCCACAATTTGTTCTCGTTGAATTTTCACTAAACATCATTCAGAACCATGATGCTTTCCAACAGTATCAAGACCCTCTGTTCTGCTTCTTACAATCCGATGAAACACTTCCCTCACTTTCCTCTCAAACGGATCCAAACCATTCTTCAAAGCCTCTTGAAGCTTCCCCAATTCCTCAACTCTCTCTCTCACTTCCATCTCTTTCTCTTCAGACAAAGGAAACTGAACAGAATCAACCAACTCATTCATCAATCTTGAACTCTTCTCAAACTGATGAATCTCTTTCAACAACCCACATGTATTCTTCCTCTCTCTCTTCTTCGATTCCTCAATGATCCTATCGTGCAACGACATCAACGAACCTCCCCATTGGTAATTCCTAGGAACATTGAAATGCACTTGCAAACCTCTGTCTTGACAAGGAATCGCTGCCACAAGTGCCCACATCACAAACAACAATATCGAAGTCATTGTATAAACCGGAACAATAAGACCATTAGTTGCAGTAATGTCACTAGCTCGAGGAGTAGCTAAATTGTTCCCAATAGCTTGTAGTTGCTTAGAAGCAGACCATGATCTCGAAACACTCCAAGAAAGCGACCTGAAATGCCCGATTGTTCGGTGATGAAGCTGCTCCTTGTTCCTTCCAAAAGACCGGTTACGATGCTGTGACGACACTGAGCTAGAAGATGAATCCTTCTCATCAAGCATACCAATAGCTAACTCAATCAAAGTCTTCCTCGCACGACGAAACTGACCTTCTCCAAGAGGTCTCTTGCCACTACTTCCTCCTCCATTGTTGTTGAAAGCACAAATTACAATCTCGATAAGTTTCTGCCATTGACGGATCTGTTCAACACCATCACGAATCGCGTTACAAACATCAAGAGCTTTAACACTTCTCTCGAAGTAATCTGAAACCAATCGATCCATCGGTGGTTTAGCAATCATCGAACGATGATTGATGACTATGGAACGAAACTCTTCTTGACAAGATAGAAACGAATCAAGAAGCTTCCCAACCCATTCGAGAGACAGTAGATCTTCACAACTAGACGCATTGAGATCGATAAACCTCTCAGCAACTTTTCTCTGAAACGAAACAAGCTCTGCTTCCATCTGAGTCAACTCGGGGGTAACCGTCGTTGACTCAACCGAGTTCACCGCCGTGTCTCGCCGTAAATTCAGAAAAGACCTCCCGAATGATCTTTGATATTCCGTTGCTGGCATCCTCAAAATGAAAACACACAGATGAAATATGTGATCGATCAAATTCGAGAGAAAATTCTCATTCACCGGAAATAAAAATCGTTCCTTTTTTTCTGAATTTGGGAGCAGAGAGAGTGATGATGATGATGAAAATTAAAAACCCTAATGAGAAAGAGATTGTCTTTATATTGATAGAATTGAGAGAGAATTTTGACCGCGTCTATTTTTTTTTAGTATGTAATTTGTGATAAATATGGAAAAAGGATTTGGACTAAAGTTTTATTTTTTTCATTCCAACGAAAAAGATCTCTTTTGTCTATTTTGATTTTGTTTATTTTTAATTTCATGCGTTGTTACTCGTCCGAAACACGCAGCTTACACGTAAATTAATAATATACCAAGTAGGAGAAATAAAAATAAAATAGGAAGATGAATAAATCTCAGCCGTTGGATTAAGAAGTGATTCGCGCAGACATATAATGGCTGTGAGAAGAGACATGACAGCACGTGGAACTTGTAAGAACGGAGGCCACGTGGCGAGACGTGAGATGGGGAGGAGTGACGGAGAAGGTGTCAATATAACACAGCTCAGTCTTAGTTGGCGCGTCATAGAGACTTGTTCCCTGTGATTCGTTTTTTGCAACTTTTTCTAGAAACTTTAATCAAGCCAATGACAATTTGCTTATTTATTTCTTGTGGCTTTACTTGCTAAATAAATACTACTACTACACCAAAAATTCAAGGAGCAAGTCAAATTAATTGTAGGCACTATTACCTGGTTGATATATTGTGTGTATAATATAAAGTATGGAGACCGATTGCTTTGTCATATAACTAGACTATAGTACTAAATTACAAATGGATTATGGATAGTTGGATACATTAATAATTGAATATGATGTTTTCAACTTGTCATAATAGAAATTGTGTGTTTAAGAGTTGAAAATCATGTTTGAACCATTCTTTAAGTTTTGAACGCTAGCCTTTTTATATATATTTTAATTAATACTAGGCGTAAGTTGCACACTAGACTAATGAGAGTATATTTTGTAATCAAATACTCTTATGTATATTCTGTATTACGTAAAATCCCCAATATCTGGAAACCGTACCTAATTTGAATAAATTTATGATATCAAAAGAGTATATGATAGTATTAAAAAGAGTGGATTGTATACTAAGAAATCTGAAGTAGAGAGCACGTGTGGATTACAGGTTCCAAGAGACATAGAACGTTGGAAGTCATGAAGGAAATTTATAAACAAAGAAGAATATGACAGACAAACTCTCCTTTTGAGTTTTGACTATTTCTTGAAATTTGGAAGTTGTTAAAGAAACCAATTTAAAATCCTTGCAATTTGGTGCTTAATCTCTTTCTCCCCCGACTAAGTTCTACAATTTAGTTATTTATTCAAAAAAAAAGAATATTTCTTACATCATTTCCTATTAAGTTTTTAAACTGGTGAAAAACTAACATGGTCCAAAACAAAAAATTATGTAAAAGGCTTAATAAAAACAAAATGGTTCAGTTTCATCATTTTATGTCGAACAAATATCATAAAACAGAGATACAAAAATGGGTTACATCATAGTTTCTTAATTATACATGAATCATAACTATTGCAAAAAAAAAAAAAAAAAATGCATCTTAATTTCTTAGAAATCGTAACTACATCATGATGGCTGTTATACAAACATAAGAAGATCGTATATTTGGTCACAGAAAGATTTGTTTTGAGATATGAACCAATTTAAAATACAACTTTTAGACCGAGATTAAAGGACGTGGTCCAGGATTTGGAAGGCAACCGTCACAATATCTGAAGTATATAGCTGCAGCCATCACTAGATTAAACGGTTTTTGCTCTTATATTATGAGATTATCTTATACGTTAACGTATAATGAATATTATTAGCTGATGGTATGTGAATATGGTGGCACTTGTGCCTACTTTCGTCATTTATTTGGTTAGAGTTTTTCTTTTGATGATGACTAAACTACGGTAGAAATATGTTGGTAACATAACATGATATCTTTGTGATTTTACCGAGTTTTTTTAACCCACGTGAAAAAATCATGAATTATATCCTATTGTTTTACTATTGACAAGTCTAATAAAATTACGAAATGAATCACAATTTCTTATTGCTTCAACCGCTTTAAGCTACTGAAATTCCCTTGATTATTCCAAAATCAAAACGCAATCGCAATACTTATGACTTGGTCAACGATCACCACAAAAAAGCGTACATTAGTTTGTCAAATATGCGCATGTTAGCATACTCTAGGTGACGCATCTTCTAAGTAAACGCCAATAATCCCAAAAGTCTCCTCCTTTCGTCTTTCCAAGAAAGTCTCCCAAGAAAGTCTCCCACTAAAGTGTTTAGAGAAAACTTTAAACCATGAGCAATCGCATCGGATTGCTCGATCTAGAGAAGCATTTTGCTTTCTATGGAGCTTATCACAGCAATCCCATTAACATTATAATCCACACTCTCTTCGTATGGCCAAACGTCTTCGCTACTCTCCTTTTCCTCTACTCTACGCCACCGATTTTAGATCACTCTCAATTAGGGTTCCTCAAGTCGCTGACATTTGATGGTGTTTTGCGTTTGGACATTAGTTTTACCCTCACTGTGACTTATGCTGTCTTTTACATCTGTTTGGATAAGAAATCTGGTGTTTTAGCAGCTCTGTTATGTTTCTCTTGTTGGATTGGCTCTAGCTTCCTCGCAGCTCGATTAGGACATTCCTTGACTTTAAAGGTAAGCCCTTTGTTCTAATTACTGGAAAAGATTTCGTCTTTATGCTTCTCCATGCATTTGAATTTTGAAGCTCAGTTTCTTCATGCTTTTGACTTGATAGCCATGTTGTGTCCTCTGCTCATTGTGTTCTTGTTCCTAATGTTTCTGTGGAGCTCTTGTTTTTTTGATGTTCCTTGATGTATATATGCTGCTGATGATGTTGGAAGGTCAATGTCTTGTCTCCGAACTGTAATGATCACCCGTCTAGATATAATGTGGTCCTTTCATGTTCAAATTCAGTGTCTATATCACCTGTTTAAAACAAAGTTGCGTTTTTCTTCTCTTGCATAGCAAAAAATTATATCTTTTGAAATCTGACTCGCTTTTTCAGGTTGGAGTAGCTTCTCAGCTCTTATGTTGGA